GCTTGTACATAGATACTTTACGATGATGGTGACGAGGAGGAGATTAGCTTGCTCGAGGAGAAATGGTCATGGGAGAAGAAGAGTCAGAACAATACTAAATAGCACGGTAAAAACATTAAATTCCACTCTGAGCAGGAAGGGGCCATCCTAGAACAAAAACTAAGAACCTTGGAAGTTTAGAGGTATCTAGATCCCAAGCAACGAGATTTTAGCCACAGGACGATCATCCAGTTCCAGTTCTGAAGCTAAGAAATTCTTTTCGTCATTTGGCTCTAATGGTTTTCCCTGTGGATGACCAACTTAGCTCTCAAGAACGCTCACCTCCTCCTGGAATCCCTGCTCAAGTCTGCCACGCCATCTCTCGCGGAAGTGAAAGAGATCCAAAAATCGATCGGACTATCATCCTCTGGCTCTCGGCTTGACAATCTTTTGATCCGCGCGTACGCCCACTGTGGAAGCCTCGATGGATCGCGCGAGCTCTTCGATGGAATGCGCGAGCGGACGCTCTTCTCGTGGTCGATCATGGTGGCGGCGCACGCCCAGAGAGGGCATCTGGAAGAAGCATCCGCGATCCACGAGAAGATGCCTGCCTGGAATGTCGTGTGCTGGAACGCGATGCTGGCGCCACTGGCGGATTCCGGGCGGCTGGACTTTTCCGCCAGAATGTTCCAAGCGATGCCAGGGCGGAATGCCGTGTCCTGGACGGCGGCGATTGCTGCAAGTGCCCGGAATGGGCATCTGGTGTGGGCGATGGAGCTATTTCACAAGATGCCTTCTACGAGCGAAATCTCTTGGGACTCCATCACTAGGGCCCTTGCTCTGTCAGGGAATCTCGACGATGCGAGGCTCTATTTCCATCGATCGCCCGCAAGAATGAGCTTTGCGACTTGGATGGCAATCTTCCAGGCGTGTGCCAGGAGTGGCGAGCTTGATCACGCAAAAGCCCTCTTCGATCAAGCGATTGAGAGGAACGAGGATTCGTGGAGCGCGATGCTCTGGGGATATGCCACGCAGGGGAGTCTGAGAGATTCCGTGGCTGTGCTGGAGAAGATGCCTGTGGTGGGAGTGGTCTCGTGCTCGAGCCTCGTCCAGTGTTATACCCAGAACGGGTATATTCGTGAGGCGAAAGCACTCTTTGATGGATTGCCCGCGAGATCGGAGGACACGTGGACGGCTCTCGCTGTGGGATATGCCCGCACTGGGCATCTTGGCGAAGCGGGGATTTTGACGGACAGGATGCCGCAGAGGAATCTCGTGTGCATGGCTGCGATTTTGCAGGCTCACGAGGGGGATCTCCATGCAGCAAAGGGAATCTTTGTTGAGATGCCAGAGAAGAACTATACGTGTTGGAACACATTGCTTACGGCCTACGCTAGTGCCGATTTGTTCGAATGTGTGGAGCGAGTTTTCAAGAAAATGCCGATGCATTGCGAGGTTCCATGTACGACGATGATCTCGGTGTACGGCAAGCACAGGCATTTCCGGGAATCTTTAGAAACGTATGATTCTATGCCCAGGAAAGATGTTGTAGCTGCCAATGCGGTTTTGCAAGCAAAAGTGGCAAACGGGCTTCTATGCGAGGCACTGGAGTTTTATGAGAAGATGCCCGTGAGGTCGATTCCCACTTGGACAATCATGATCCGGGCATATTCTCAAAATGGCTGTACAGACTTGGCGAAAACTATATTCGATCAAGCGTCCAAGGATCTCGTTTCATGGAATGTGCTAATGAAACTCTACGGAACCACCGGTTATGTCCTCCAGGCAGAAGTTTTGTTTGAGAAGGCTCCGGCAAGGAATATCCTGTCGTGGACCGCCATGTACTCTGCATATGCCCGCTGTGGGCACCTGCTGGAAACCAAAAACCTCTTTGACAAGATGCCTAGCCGCGACATTTATACTTGGAACACACTCGCTTCGTGTTATGTCTTGCATGGAAACTTAAGCGAGGCACGAAGTACATTCCAAAAGATGCCGGAGCACAGCAGCGTGACGTTCAATGAGATGCTCGTGGCACTTTTTCAGGACACTGGCCTGGATCAAATCAAAAGCCTGTTTGATACATTGCCTGAAAAGTGTGTTGTTTCATAGTCACTGCTGATCTCGGCATATGCCCAAAACGCCATGTCCAAGGAAGGATTTCAACTGTTTCGTGACATGATCTTGGAAGGAATCTTGCCTGACGAAGTTTGCATGACCATTGTTTTGGATCTGTGCAGCCACACCGAGGATGCACTGCGGATCTTTAGATACTTGGAGCAGGATCTTGGCTTGAGGGCCGTGAGGGAGCACTACTTGTGTTTGATTGACATCCTTGGAAAATCTGGATGGACGAAGAGAGCTCAAGACTTGATTCAAAGCATGGGCTACAGTGAAGCTTGGGCATCACTCCTTGGATCTTGCAAGATCCACAATGATCCTTCAATTGGAGCAAAAGCAGCTGCAGAGCTGGCCAGCTTTGATCCAGAAACATCTGCAACTTACGTGTTGTTGTCCACTATATATTTTGAAAGTAACTCTTAAATCTCATCACATTTTAGATCTTGGAAACTTAGCTTTATCTACCTTTTAGGAAGAAGATCTCTTGGTTTCTAGCTTGATAGAATGATCATAATTGGATAGACTCGAATCTAGTTGTTTGATATCTCACATTTTAGATCTTGGAAAGTTGCATAGGCAGTTACATCAACATCTCTTGGTTTCTAGCTTTGATCTCGAAGATAGAATGATCATGAGATTGCCATAGTCATGATTCTCTGCCTCACAAGAAGATCTTGGTAGCCCGCGTCCCTGAGACACGAGCTCAAAGTTCTCATCGTCTGGGCCTGTGGAGTAAACCCCGCCGCCACCATCGCCTCGAAGATCCTGAAAGCCTCGTCCGCCATGTCCGCCGAGCACGCCTCCCCGATCAGCAGCGTGTATGTCACGAGCCCAGGAGCGCAGCCTCTGCTCGCCATCTTCTCAAACTCCGCGATGGCCGACTCCACTCTATCCAATCCACACAAGCTCCGAAGAACCGCAACGTAAGTTCCCTCGTCCGGCCTCACGCCCTTGAGCACCATCTGCTCGATCACCTCCACTGCCTCGTCCGGCTTGCCGGCCTTGCAAATCTCCGCGACGCAAAGGCTGTACGTCGCAGCGTCCGCGACAAATCCCGGGCTGCGCAAGAGCTTCGAGGCCGCCTCCCACTTTTTCCTCAAGTAGAGCTCTTCTACGAGGATCTTAAACGTTTCACCCAGTGGCTGGCATCCCACCTCCACAACGTTGTCAAGAACACTGCAGGCCTCGTCCACTTCCCCTTGCTTGCACAGAACTTCCACCAGCGCGTGGCAAATCGCCCCGTTTGGCACAACGTTGTCCGCCTCCATCACGTCCAGGAACTCCTTGGCTTCGTCCACCCGGCGAGCTCGGCACAGGCACTGGATGAGCGGAGCGTACGTGTTGGCATCCGGCTGCCGCTTCTTCCGCTTCATCTTGTGGTAGATCTCGAGAGCCGACTCCACACTGTCGGCACCGCAGACGCAGTCCATGAGGACGTTGTAAGTCTGGAGGCCGGGAATGAAGCCGGCGTTCACCATGTCTTCGTGAC